CACACACCTTTGCAGCTGCAATCCGCAAGAAATGTATCTTATAAATACATAGAGCAAAAATATGTACATAAATATACGTATGTATATACATATGTAGGTATGTACACATGTATATGTTTGTATATGAATATAAAAATAAAAATAAATTTGGGAAAATGAAAAGACAAAGCGGCAAATGAAGTCATAAATGTGTAGCGGCAGCGACGCAGCTGAGCTGTTCAACGAATATAAAAATCAAAAGGGAACGAAAATTCATAAATTACTTACATACAAGTATAAATACACACACACATAGATAGTATGTGCTTAGATAAACGTTTATATACTAATTTACATGCCCTGTATAATCTGCAATGATCTCTCTGCTGCTGCGATGGTAACAGAGGCAGCAGCAGCAGCAGCAACAACAACATAGCTTCAAGTCTTCTTGATGGGAAAAAAGGTCAAAGTATCTCTCAAACATACAAAACTCTCACACTCTCTCACACACACATACACTCTCACACTTACAGCTGGGAGCGAATTCGCAGCACCAACAACAAAAACTTAAAGTCGCAGCTGGTTACACGCACACAAGTACATATACAAATGTATATGCATGTATGTATATGTATGCATGCATATACTAAAATATATGTAGATAGAGAGAGCTCATAAAAGAGAGAGAGAGAGAGAGAGAGAGAGCGCGTTAGCGAAGTGTGGGAGCATGGGTACACGAGGGGAGCAGTTACAACCACATAACAGATACATACAGAAAGGTACCCGTACACACACACACAGAAATAAACTCAGATGCATACAGATACATATGTATGTGTGTATGTGTTTATATGGCCAATACATTTAGTGCTAGGGCAGCGCAGCGGCCACCAAACTGAGGGACACAACAACACCAACAATGAAAAGTAGCGGCACCAACAGCAACAGCAACAGCAACAACAACAAAAGACGCAGCAGCAACAGAAGCTGAAGAAGAGAAATACCAAAAGTGCGCTATGCAGCGAAGGTCGCCGTCACTGTTTATCTATCGGTCGACGCTGACGCCGACGTCAACGTCGACGTTAACGTCGACAGCAACAACGGAGAATTCCTTATAGAAAATCAAGAAAACTGCATTAAATTTTCGTATCTGTTTTGTGTGAATGTTTGCCTTTGTGTACTCGCGCGCACACACACACACACACGTATATACGTGCGCTCATTTGAGCGTGTTAGTCGAATACGGGTTTTTTTTTGTGATATCCGTTCACTCGCTTTAAAAAAAAGCTTTAATGCAAGCACACGCACACACACACACTGGCACACGCATTTACGCTCATATATGTGTGCATGCATGTATCTATATCTAATTAGACATGTACATAAATACATATACATACATATATAAAATCAATTGCCGTGTGAGTCTTGCAAAATTTCGAGCTGAGCTTCACTAATTTGATTGATTCTTGTTTGTATTTTAATGCTGGGGTGACTCTGCAAGAGAAGAGAAGAAGAATTTCTTTCACCATGAGGAAGATAAAGGCCAGACCAAAGTATAGATCGGGCAAGAGCTAATTCATACGTGAGCCGCTCAGATAACAGGTTTATAACATATCTCAATATTCATGATGAACAAATAATAAGCAAAATGCATTAATTTCGATCACAAAAATGAAGATAAAATGATCAATGATAAGTATGCAGAAAGAACGATAACGATTACCAATCAAACGGAACTAAGGATTTTACTTATTCTTTTGAGCCCTGCAGCCATAACAATTTAAATTGCAAATGGAATGCAGCCAAAATCAGTGACAGAAGAAAGGGGAAAGACGGAAGAAGAAGATAAATAGATAGAAGGAGCGAGAGAGAGAGGCTTTTTTTTTTTTTTTTTTTTTTTTTTTGCCAGCTCTGGGACAAGTTGTCTGCCAATATAGCCAATGCAGTGAATCGGCAGGGGCATGAGAGAGTTTTTAAACACGATCATGGATCAAACAAATATGAAGGTGGTCACAAATGACACGCTGCTTGACATGCATTGATGGCATTTCAATATATCGAATATCGAAGTATGTACTTTAAAGTGAACTGGATATTTATCTGTACATATATTTATGGCTCTACGATTTAGAAATATGTATATGTATAAATAGAAACTTATGCATATTTTATAATGACAAAAATTTCCCTCGACTTAATCATATATTTTCAATTAAATCAAAATAATTCTACAGTACTGCATTTCTGGGAAAACAAGCTCACTTCAATTGGAGATACCCCAAATTAATTGGCTTTGCTTCTACGTTTTATACTTGTTCATATCTGATGAAAACATCATACGCATATGTGCGTATCTAGCCCGATCGTAAGGATACTTTGCTGATCAAGGTTATTCGTTTTGGAATGTCTGCTACAAATACAGGAATAATTTTTGCATTATGCTCGGCAAATACCTTCATTAAATATGCGAAAATTGCAACGAGAGCTCCTAATTAGTTTTAATATCGATTTGTAGTGCTGCCAACCTATCATAAGCAGCGAGCCTTTAGACAACTATTAAAGTTGCCACCCTGCGCACCTGACAGCTGAGTTGTAGCTGCAAAGAGAATGTGTGGGAGGTGGAGGTAAAGGTGAAGGTGGAAAGTAAATGGGAGAGGGAGCGGGAGCGGGAGTGAGAAAGTTGAGTCTGTTCGCCGCCAGAGGGTGCTGCGAAAGCGAAGAGAACAAATCGAAGGTGCCGCTAATGCTGGTATGATGGTGGTAGCAGGGCGAAGAATGGGCAGGATGGAGAGTGGTGTTAGGTATAGGTGGTGGCAAATTAAAAGTAAATTTGCTATCGCCACTTCGAACATGCAGGGTAATAAGCAGCAGCAGCAACAACAGCAACAATAAGAATAACAAAAACAAATAGTACGAACACCGCGATTCGGCTTTGCCGAACGCCAAAACCGAAGTCCGCGACCACAAAACGAGCACACAAAAGCTTTCAAAATGGGAAGTAGATGGAAATATTCCCGGTTGCGCGCCAACGCGCTCGCCCGCCCACACTGTGACACGCCCAGGGCACGCAAACGCCGCCCTTGCGCGCACAGTGTGTGTGAGTGTGTGTGTGTGTGTTTGTGTTTGTGTTGAGCTGCCAAAGTCGTTGCGCGCGCGGCATCGTCATCATAGTCGCGGCTGCCACCGCCACTGCTGCCGCCGTCGCCGTCGTCTTCTGCTCTGCCTCTCGCTTTCCCTCTGCCGCTGCCGCTGCCACTGCCTGCCTACCTACCATGTGCTATTGCGCGTCACGAAACGGGGCCTGGCCAGGAGACTATGCAACTTGTGTGTGTTGTCTACACATTGTGTGTTTTCTTGTTGTTGTTTTTCTCTTGTCTTTTCTTTTTTTCTGATTTTTTTGGTTTGCTGTTTGTTGCTTTTGCACTTATTTACATACATACATGTACATATATTGCATTTTTGTTGCACCGATTTATATATGCATTTGTATACATGTACGTACGTATGTATGTATGCATGTATGTATGCATGTATGTATGTATGTACATGTATGTATGTATGTATGTATGTATGTACATGTATGTATGTATGTTTGTATATGTATACGAGCATGCTTTTGCGTTCATGCATATGCACGTAGTTTGCATGTATTTGTATGTACATATATACATACATATGTATGTATGTATTATGAATATGAGCTTTTGGTTAAGAAAGCATTACGAGTATGTATACATGCATACATACAAATGTAAGTAGGTATGTGCGTAAATATGCATACATACATAAATATGTACATATATATGCAAATTAAGCTTCTGCATGTGAGTATGTATGTTGCACATATTTTATAGACTGCTTGCTATTTTTGCGCGGAAATGCATGTATGCATGTGTGTTTGTAGTACAAACTTTGTACCTGTGTGTGAATGTTTGTAAATAAATATCTGTTTTTAATGCCCTGAACACAGTACAAACTTATTAACTAACGGATACTTTACAATCTACAATCTCTTGCTCGCTTATTTCTCTCTCTTCTTCACTCAAGCTCTTCTTCTTTCGAGAGCTAAACACGTTGGCAAATGCAGTCTTGCATATTTGCACTGCTGTACATCAACTTGATAGGATAAGATCTCTAGCAGGTGAACTAGTTTGTATAGTTTGAATATTAAAGTTGTTCCATATATTGATATGGTCGGTAAAGTGTAATTAATAGAATCTTATTATATTATTGTAGTCTAAAATCTTAAATATAGATGAAACAGCTCACTAATATACAAAGTATCGGCACTTACTGTTACCTGCCTCTGATTGTATATATGTACATAATCAATTGAGCTAAAAAACTTAATTCATGGCCAATTAAATAAGTATTAACAAGCACACGGCTCATTTTGCCGGCATTTAATGAACACTTGCCGAGCGGATTCCAGTCGATGCAGCAGCGAAGAGCAATCGAACAATTAATTAAACTGTCAATTAAGTTGATAGCTTTTAAAAATACACTTTTTGGCGCCAAACAGTATGTACACACGACTACAAATTCTGCTCGTCTCTCGATAACAAAAAGGCGCGCATTTTTTTGTAGGAGCACAAACATGTTTTTTATTTTTATTTTTTTTTTTAATTTTTTTTTTTAATGAAATAATAAAAAATAATAAAATAATAGTGAAATAAATAAAAGTGTATGTTATTAAAGTATGAACTGCATTTATAACATGTTCGTTTTGTGGCGGATTTATGAAAATGAAGTTAGGTTTCAACACTGACCAGTGGTCAGTGGTTTCAAATCATCGCCAAAAAATAATGTGGAGACACCCTGAATGGAAATCAAATATGGTCGGCCGATAGCATACAATTAAAAGGATTCAAAGATGATCTTAATTTATTGGTACATATGCCGCTGCTGCGACTGATTAGCTCATAGAAATATATTGTATTCTGAATCCGCTTTTAAACAACCGCGTTGTGGTGGACAACAGTGTGTACACATCAGTTGGCAGCATGGCTCGCCAGATTTATCGATATGCGCAATTTATGAATATCAATGTAAAGCGCTTTTGTGCCCTGATCGACAATAAGAGAATAATATATTTGTTGAATGCAAATAAGACATATATATAGATATATAAATCAAGTGAGAAATATGTGTGATTCGGTCGCTGCCCCCGATCAGCGCAACGTTGAGATCAAGGCGCGCATACCCGGCGGTCCGCGTGAGTTCGAACGCCGGCTGGCTATTGCGCGCCAGCTAACGAGCTCAGATGGCGAGCTGATTATCCAACGTGACGTCTTCTTTAATTCACCAAAGGGTGGCCGGTTAAAGTTGCGCTATTTACAGCCGCCTGCACGCTCACAGTTGGTCTACTACGACAGACCCGACGTAGCCGGCCCAAAGCTCTCCAGATACAACAAAATCGATGTGGACGAACCGGCCGTGCTGGAGAAAATGCTCGGCCAGTCTAATGGTGCGTTGGGCGTGCTGGCCAAACGTCGCCTGCTCTTCCTGCACGAGCAAACGCGCATTCACATGGACGATGTGCAGGATCTGGGCCATTTCATGGAATTCGAGGTGTGCCTCCGACCTGAGCAGACCCTGCAACAGGGCCAGGATATTGCCGAGCAGCTGAGCCGCACATTTGGCATTACCGCCGAAGATTTGATGACGGGCTCCTATTTCGATGCCCTGAACAAAGGCGGAGATTCATGAACTCTGCCTTTTATTATCTTTAGTCTTTTGATCCTTCGGGATTTTCTAAACATTCTAAGATATAACAAATATTTCGCTAAAAGATTATAAGTTACATAACCCAAGTTACGCTATCACAGCCGCATTATTATCGAATTATTCAAATAGATAAAACGAATATTCAACCAAAAGGTAAATATATATATTGTTAATGTAAATATCATATTGTACATATATATATAAATATACATATGTATATAATAGATAAGTACAGTTGAACCTTTGAGGTTTGTTCAACGAAAACTTGTAGCCTTTATATTTATCCGATTCCAAATGATATTTCCCATACGATATATAGCAGAACTTTAATAATTTACAATTTGGCAATAAACAATAATAATTTACAAATTGGCAAAAAACAGAATTGGATAAATCGAATGGGAATTCAAATAAAACTTATTTACAATTTGAATGCTGACTTAGATAAATATATATATATAAATAAATATATACATATGTTTTGCTTTAAGGCATTTCCCAGAAGTAACACGAACTTAAAGCTGTATATAAATGCATTTGTTGTTAAAACAACAAGGACAATACGAGAAGAAAAATGGAAGGAAATACTGTTTCCCGATTTGGAACACAAGCAGTGGAGGGAATTATTAGATACTCAATTAAGATTAACTTATTAGCTATAAGGACTCGGAGCTTAGAGCTAATCCAGCTGCCCATTTACAATGGCTCAAACAGCTTTCGTTTAGTTGTTGTTGTTGTTCTCTTTTCCAAATTGAGCGACAAGAAATTCGTACATTTTTGTGGTTCTAGCTAATTTTGGTTTGGCTGTTAACAAATAGTTTGTTCACTGAATATAGTAGGCTGGGGGGGCGCTAGATGGCGTGGCAGGTTGCTGAGGGCGTGGCACGTGTGTGTGTTAACTTAACAGTAGGAACCAATAAGGCTAATGGACATGCTCTCCGATATGGGATCGGGCGCAGAAATCGGCTTCCAATACAACCAATTGTAGTTGACTGCGAAGAGAAAGAAAGAGCCAGGCAGTGTGTGCGTGAGATATAAATAGAAAGAGAGAGAGAGAGAGAGAGAGAGAGAGAGAGTTATAGATAAGGCCGACGATACATACGCACAAAGGATTGACTGAGACGCATGGAGAGCGTACGACAGCGCTGGCGACATTCGCTGGTCGGACGCAGGATGATGAAGCGTGTGCCCACCGCCTGATGCACATAGACATTGGGGCATTCCGTATCGGGCAGCGTATACGCTGGCGCCTGTGCCGTGTCAATGGCCACATACCGTTCCAGTGCCACACTCATGCTGGGCAATCGAAGCGGCCGTGCGAAAATGGGACGCAGCAGACGGGCGGGCAGCATACGATTGCAGCGCCACAAATTGTGAGCGGTTGACAAATGGACAAAATTATCATGATGATGGCGATGCTGCTGATGCTGCTGATGCTGCCGCTGCTCCTGCTGATGATCGTCTTCATTATCACTGGGATCATCGTGATCATTGTGAGCGGCGCTGCTCGCATTGAACTGGCCAAAGAGATCCTCCAGATTGTGCACGCCCTGATTAGTGGAGTGAACGCGATACGCATCCCGCTGGAAGATCTTCAGGTTCTTTGCATAGATCTGGTAGAAGTCAGACAGATCGAAGGTATGCTGATTGCTGCGAAATGTATATGGCATGTGCTCCATGGGTCTGCGGCAATGTTGCATCAGCGTCAGCTGCTTGTACTGCGACAGAGGCCCCGAATCCGGCTGGCTGCGATTGCCCGGATTCTGATTGATATCGGCATACAGCTGGGCGCATTCATCACTCTCCATCCAAACGCTGTCGACGTTCGCACAGGGGCTGCAGCTGAGATCCTCGACCTGAAAGAACGGATTGCCCATTAGGCAAGACTCGTCGTACAGTTCGGTTAGCCGCGGAAATCGTTGGATTAGCGGCATTGTCATTCGACGCCACATTCGCATGCCGGGATAGACCAGTGATTGGACCATCCGTCCGTTGTGGCCGCCATGCGATGAGGTCGTCTCGTATCGATACGCCACGACACAAAGCGATATCAAGGTCAGATAGAAGAGCCAACAGAGGATTTTGCGCCGACGGTCGAGAAAATGATGGAGCACCTCCAGCCGCAGGTATGCCACGAGGGGCGTGGATGTATTGTAAAGGGCCTGGGAGCTGCGCTGCTGGAAATACTGAAAAATCACATAGTTATCGAAACTGAGCGGACGGACGCCATAGTTGACATCGGCAAGGCGGCGTAGCTGGCGCACTGCGCTAGTATATCGCTGCAGTAGCTGTTGCCGACTCAGCTGCACAAAGTTAAAGTCCAAATCAATATCGAAGTCTTCCATGTTGTGGCTATTCTTTAGTTGTTGTTATTGCAGCTGCTGCGACGCGGACGTCGCTTCCTTATGTTGACGGCAAAAAAAGTTGACCTATTGAGTATGTGTGTATGTAGTGTGTCTTTCTTTTCTAATGACTTCACTTGTTTCGCTTAAATTTTTATGATACATATATATTTATATTTCTGTTTTTTTTTTTTGTTGGTCAGATAAATATTTTATGAGCAGTCTTTTATTTATGTTTTTTCTGCTCTTGTTGTTGTTCTTGCTTCTTGTTAGTTTATCTTGGCTTGGTAGTTTTTCTAGTATTTGGCGGTTTTCAAGTTTGGCCACTCTTTTAGCGTGTTTCCACATTGATCGACACAGTAATAAATAAGCAATTCTTAATAATAAAAAAAATAAATGCCTGCTTATATTCATTATGGTTAGTGTTATATTGTAGCAGTTAAACTTTATTTCATTTTAGTTTGTCATTTTTAATACATTAACTACATTTTAAAATGATTGATAAATTTAAAAAAAAAAAGTACATTTGAAACTATGAAATTTTGAATATTTTTTTATTTATCAAAATGTGTGTGTGTGTTTTTTTTTTTTTTTAATGTAGCCCCATTATTTGTTAGTAATTCATGTTTTTATTCTTCTTTCGAAGAAAATTGTCGTAAAAATGCCATTTTGAAGTCGATGCAAATTAAATTTTTCGTTTTCCGAAACTTTGGTCACACTTATTTGTGATATTTATGTTATTTAAATCTGGTCATACGGCCTCAGTTGTTTGATAATCGCGTAGCAGTGCGGAGCCGTTGCAAATGTAATTGACGCAGTTTTTGCCAACTTTTTTTTTATATTATTCTTATTGTGAGCTTATTTGTTGTTGTTTTTAAGCAATCATTTTCGGTATGCAAAAAGTTTATAAAAAGTGACACAAGAGTCGTGCACTCTTACAACAATTGTGTATGCCTTGTGTGTGTGCATGCAATTGTGTGTACATATATGAGTGGGCAACTCCACAAGTGTGTGCGTGAAATCAAAATAAAACCACAGCAGCGCAGCGAACACTGTCGCACCCTGATGGAAATATTTTATAGAATTTCTAATTGAAATGACATGAAATATATGAATTGAAAGGCATCAAGTGCTAGAGTGTGCGTGAAATAATGTGAATGAAGTTATATTACGTAAGAAAATGTCTAAATGTTGACTGCATTCTTGGTCAAAGCGAAGTCTTCATGTTGATGATTTCATTGACGATGACGAAGACTACGCGGCCAACGCACACACATACTCACGGCAATAAATATGCTTGCGCACACACATGTATGTATTTGTGCCTGTATGTGTGCTATTTGCTGTGCTCCAAATGAATATCCTCCACTTCAACTGCTGGAGTCAAAGAACGAAGTGAGCCATAAATTCTATGGCGGGGTGGCAACACTTGAAAAGCTGACGATCAAACGTCAAACTGATTACAGTTAGCTCGTGAACAGAAGTCGCAGCAGTAGCGCCCCCTATCGCAGCCGTGTGTACAAGGAGTTGCAGATCCAATTGGTGTGCTCTGTTATGTGTGTGTATTTATGTATGCATGCATGTTTGCGTAGCTGTGTTTATCTCTGCTTTTGGGCTAGTGTGTGAGGAACTTGTACGCCCACATTATGTAGCGCAGATGTTGTTGCCGCTGCCTGATCGCCCGCCCGGCTGCCAGCCTACTGGCGAATGGTTGCGGTGGGCGAGCGACTGAGCGAGGCCAAAAACCAAGATATATACATTTATATATATATATGTGTGTGTGTTGACTTATGTTGTGGGCGCCCAAATTCAGCTCTTTGCTCTTTTTTATATGCAAATTATTGCATCTGATCCCACTCCATCCAGCTGTTTATATTTAGATATCAAACCATCTGCATAGCTACCCTCTTTTTTGTTTTCAATTAAATGCATGATTAACACAACTCTCAAGTCTCCAATCTCCAGTGTCAAGTTTTGCAAGGCGATCGATTATTCATTCGTGCCCGGAAGACGTCAGCGCAGTCGCGCTGCATGACTCAAGTTGTCTCCGAAACGAAAGGCATAAGCGTGCGTTAAGGCAAACATACATACATATATATGTATGTACATATATGCAGTCCATAGTTAAGCATATTTGCTGTAGAGGGAGTTCTCTCGCACAATAAAATGAGGCGTCTTTGTCCTGTCCAGAGGGCGCCTTCTTTGTTTACGTTTTGGTATAAGCTGTGCCAAGAGCACAAGAACAGTAATTAACGCCCGTATCTAGCGGCCGCCATTACCCTTTCTATCTCTCGCTCGCTCTCTCGCTCTCACTGTCAGTTTATTGCAATTTTACTGTATTTCCAGCTGTGTGAAACGTGCAATTATTGGCATTTTCATTCTCATTTCTCATTTGGCCCTTATTCAAGAATACCTTGGTTTAGCAGGCATGTGTTTTTTCTCGTATGTAAGGGAGCGTTTATGTGTGTGTGTGTGTGGTGCGTGCGTATTTTGTTTGTTTGTTTTGTTACACACATACGGGGTAGCAGCAGCAGCAGCAGCAGCCAAAAGCGTAGAGGATGAGTCATATCCAATTTGATTTTCGATTCGTTCGTTTCGTTTGAATCGACGCTGATTGTACAGCGAAGACAACAACAACAACAACAACAACAACAACAACAACAACAAGAGTGAGAAATATATTGAAAGATGAGGCAAAACGGGGCTAGGCAAGGTAACGGCGAAATTGAGCAAATGTTTGCTGTCGCTGCCCTTACGAAAGCTGTCCGAACATAAACACGAACACACTCGTACACAAACATACATATGTATGTATATGAATATACATATATATTAATAAATAATCTATTTTTGACAAATAAAAAAAAACACGCTCGCATAACTTGTTTTACAGCGTATTAGGATTGTCATTCTTATAAGAATTAGTAGTTCCAAAACGAACTAGCTAAACTTGTTGCGGTTGCTTGAAATCGAATCCAATTGGTTCACGAATTGATTCCTTAACCCCAGCCATCAGCTATAGAATTGACTGACTGATGAGTAATGTTTTGTATCCAAAGCTTTCTGTATATGGATAGATGTATTTAGCAACTCCCATTCATGTAGTCTCCATTGAATCCATTGCAGCCGCTGCACCTGAAACTTTCGCACACCCTCCAACAGCTAGAGCGAAAGAGAGCTAGAAGATACACGGCTAGAGAGAGAAAGAGAGCAAAAGACAACAACAGGAAACGCACACCGCAAGAAGACTCAAACAACAAAACTCATGATGCAACAGCAGGAGAAGCTGTTGCTGGTGGCGCTGTGCATTATGGCCAGCACGCTTACAACACTGGCGCTCGGAGAACAAACGCTGGCAGCAGCAGCGGCGCAGCAATCGCCGGCTAAGCTAGAGCAGAATCCGTGCGTGAACAAGGGCACGTGCCACGCGTGTATTCAGACACAGAACTGTGGATGGTGCATGAAGCCAGATTATGGAGATCGGTCGCGTTGCTTTTTGCATACACCGAAGGCGGATATCTGTCCGGAGGAGTACATTTGGAATCCCGATACATCCGAGCGCATCTTGATCAACAAGGATCTGACATTGGCCAGCGGTGGTGCCGCTTGGGCGGGCGGTCAATATGCTTCGGGTGTTGGCTACGAGAGCAGCGCCCATGGCCAGAGCTCGGCATCGGGTTCGTATAGTGCCTCCAGTTCCAGTTCCAGCTACGGTTCCAGCTCCAGCTCCGGCTCCAGCTCCGGCTATAGTGCCAGCTCCAGCTCAGGCGGCTACGGCGCAGCAGTCAGTGGTGCAGCAGCAGCTGGTGAAATTGTGCAGATAAAGCCACAACGCGTTAGCCTCAAGCTCCGCATTAGTAAGTGATCGATGAATGAATTGCTTCAAATGTAACAATAACACTTTAAATTTCTCTTGTAGATGAGGTTCACAATCTGGATGTTAGCTATTCACAGGCCGTCGACTATCCCGTTGATCTCTACTATTTGATGGATCTGTCCAAGTCTATGGAGGACGACAAAGAGAAACTCTCGGCCTTGGGCGATAAACTGTCCGAGACAATGAAACGCATTACATCCAACTTCCGCTTGGGCTTCGGCTCATTTGTGGACAAGGTGCTGATGCCCTATGTATCCACCATACCCAAGAAGTGAGTATTAGGCCAGTTCATAATCTTTATCAGTCAATAATGAATAAAAGCTAGATAAGCAGTTAAGGTAGGATTATGACTGTTATAGAATTTCTGGCGAAACGAACGAATGAGACGTCCACTGAAACCATTTTTGATGATTTAATTAGATAAGTTCGATTAGTCACGATTTACCAGAAATTGCATATTGTTTAAATCAATATTTAGTATATATACATGATGAATAGAGTTATATTTATGTATTAGTGTACGATACGTTAATGAGCAGCTTTACTTGATCAAAATTTCAAAATTGATTAATTTGGAAACTGAAAAATCTCATGATTTCTAACAAAATTCACTTCCATCATTGGCTTACTCAAATTTAGTTGCAATTGAAATAATGTTTATTATATTTTGTATACTCCAGCAGAAGTATAGAGAGTAGAAAGTATTTGTCTATATGGGAGAGAAAGAGAGAGATCCCACCCTAGTTCTAGCAGGGTTTACTAAGAAATAAGGTTTATTTAAGCAGCATTTAAATATCTTACGATTTTATGGTCCAGTCCCTGGCTATATTTATATACTTTATGTGTATTACTATAACCCTCGCTCTATCTCCCTCTCTGTTGACTTTAAACAGGATTTACTAAGAACTTCACTTCAGGAACAAAGTTTTTCTAGTAATATTATCCGAGCTTATAACTCTCATAGCAAATGGCCTAGCTAAGATATTAGGCTTATATATATCTTCTATATTTATATATAGTATTAGTCTAGTTTAAGGCTAAGATATAAATCTCTTGTATATATCTTTAGATAAATCTATAGATTGAACATCCATTAGCTCTGCTGGGGTATTCTGAGACATTTCGGTTCTACCGGAAATAACAGCGCTCATTATTAGTATTATTTGATACTTGTAAATTGTTTTTCAATGACTAATTCAAAACAAATCAAATTTTTATTTTTATGCCAAACCAAAAAAAAAAAAAAAAAAAAAACCAAAACTAACGCCAAAAACAAACCAAATAATCAATGATTTACTGATTAAACAACAACACCATCAATCAACGACAACTGCTCGATAACATCTATATATATATATATATATATGTACATATATTGATATTCCCATATATATCCTATATAGACTCGAGCATCCATGCGATAACTGCAAGGCGCCGTATGGTTACCGCAATCACATGCCACTGAGCAATAACACCGAAAGCTTCTCTGTAAGAGCCTTGAAAATCTTATGAATAATACTTTTTATACATACATTCACCATGCACCCACTACACACTCATGCACACATACATACATGCATATATATATATATATACTGCATTATATATAATACTCTATAACATATAACATATAATACCTGCTCTCCATTTTCCACTGTTGCCTAACTCTATATATCGTATCGTATCGTATCGTATCGTCGTATTGTATGGTATTGCCGTATTGTATGTTTAGCTCTAGTACATACATATTTATTCATATACATATATATCTATATATCTATAAACCTAAGCCTTACCTGGTACTACATATCTGTATAATTCTATGTTCTATGTTTCTGTGTAAGTTGTAAGCTCAAAATGCAAGAAAAGGCCAAATTGTTTGGTGGCGCAACCAACTTAACACACGTTGTAATTACATTGACCAGTGTTGCCATATCGTTGCATTTTTGCCTTTTGCTGCTTGCTTTGGGATTCCAGTCACAATTGAATGTGATCTACATCTATTGCACTCTGCTATATATGTTCTATATGAATCGAAACTGTGTTACAGTACATATTTAATTTAAATTATTTGATTTGATTTTATTTTATTACATTTATTTTTTGTCTTTTGCGTTTCTTTATTATACTCATCAACAAATTTGCTCATCACACTCTCTTCTTTCTCTCTCTTTCTTTCTCTTAATATATATAAATATTTATTCTTTATGTCTATATATGTGTTTGAAAAATTGTGAAAAAACGGTTGCTTGTTGCTTCACACTAAAAAAAAAACAAAACAAACAAAAATCAAAAACAAAATTCGTATACAAAATTTAGCCTGGAGGAGCCATGTCCCAAATGCGATGCTCCCTATGGCTATCGTAACATCATGGGCTTGAGCATGGACACATATAGATTCTCTGTAAGTTGTCAACTGCCCAAACAAAAAAAAAAAAAAAAAAAAAAAAAAAACAATTTTAGAAGCAGAAAATTTCCTTCTAATCCAATTAGAGACCTGTCCAAACTCGTTTAGCAGCTAACCCCAACGAATTTGTTTTATTATTATTACTATTATTATGATTATTGTTTTTTGGATTTATTTATTCTAATATCTGGTATTTGGTGTCTTGTTTTGGTTTATGATTATCCTAAATTCTTTGAATGCTATTGCACGTTCCTTCGTCTTTCATAACTCACATCCTTAATTTAACCTCTTTGCCTGCTGCATGAGAACACTTTGTTGATAAGTCTCTATCAATGCGTATGTCCCTGGCACACTCTTGTCTTGTCGATATGATTATGTCTAAATATACATATGTATGGCATATATACATATACATATATGCAGGCATGCTTATATGCTAGCTAATCTTATCGCAAAACGTTGGAATTTCATTTACTTTTTTCAAGATTGAGAACTAAAATTATATTTATAGCGTAGCGAAGCGTTGTTTCCAGTCGAAAGCCAAGAACTAATTTAAAATTGATGTATTCCGTCATTTGAAACAAGATATGAATGAAATCGATATGAATGAAATCGATAACTTTTATAAATTACCAAGCTAATGCCATACAACAGGAAACAATTGCTAACCTACTTATAATTAAAAATTGATCAACTAATTGGATTTAAATATAGTTTAGCTAAAATCGATAAATTATCGATATGCGATCGAGTTCGCTTGAAATGCTTGCTTGCCTATATACAATATTGGCAATCATTGCTGAAAATTAAATCGCAACTCAATCGAAAGAAAGTTCTTTGTAATCGTTATCGAAAATATCGCTTCGCTATCGACTAACCCAGCTGAGGAGTGTGCCAACATCTAACACCAGCTTAACCACTGCACCACAGCAATTGCATCTAAATATCAATTTTATTATTTGTTTATTAATTTATCACTTTTCTATCTCTCTCTATATATATTCCTATATATATGTATATATATCTGAACACACCTACAGAACGAGGTGAAGGAGGCGGCTGTCTCTGGAAATTTGGATGCACCTGAAGGTGGCTTCGATGCCATAATGCAGGCGATTGCCTGCCGACAGCAGATCGGTTGGCGCGAAAAGGCGCGTCGTTTGCTAGTGTTCTCAACGGACGCGGGCTTCCATTATGCCGGCGATGGCAAATTGGGCGGCGTGATTACCCCGAACGATGGCGAATGCCATTTGAATGCACAGGGCATGTACACGCATTCGATAATACAGGATTATCCGAGCATATCGCAGATCAACCAGAAGGTCAAACAGAATGCGATCAACATTATCTTTGCCGTCACACAGAATCAGTATGCCGTCTATCAGAAGCTGTCCGCTCACATTGAGGGCTCGTCCAGCGCCATTTTGTCCAATGATTCGTCCAATGTGGTGGATCTGGTGCGCGAGGAGTATGGCGTAAGTGATCGATTGAAATATCGTGGGAAATATCGATTATTCATTGGCTTTTGGTGATTGCAGAAAATCTCATCGACGGTGGAGATGAAGGACAATGCCACTGGAGATGTTAAGGTCACGTATTTGTCTAGTTGCCTGACCAATGGACCCCAGATCAAGACGAACAAGTGCAGCGGTCTTAAGGTCGGCGACAAGGTCACCTTTACGGCTCAAATAACGGTGACCAAGTGTCCAACTGATCCACGTCACTGGAATCAGGTGTGTATAAGCAAACAGAAAGCCAGAGGATTGGGTAGAGAGAGGGAGAGAGAGAGTGAGAGAGAGAGTGAGACACAGAGTGGAGAGAGAGAGGGAGAGAGAGAGAGGGAGAGAGAGAGAGGGAGAGAGAGAGAGAGAGAGAGAGAGAGAGAGAGAGAGAGAGAGAGAGAGAGAGGAGAGAGAGAGAGAGAGAGAGAGAGAGAGGGAGGGAGGGAGGGAGGGAGGGAGGGAGGGAGGGAGGGAGATAGCCAAGTCTTCGGATAATGTTACTCAGAATTGTCATTAACTATATCTTTGATCTTGGTAGGCCATTCAAATCTATCCGGTGGGAATTAACGAAAGCATGATCATTGATCTGGAGATGCTGTGCTCCTGTCCCTGCGAGCATGCCGGCTCCACTGGCTACGAGCTGCACTCGCAGAAGTGTCACAACCACGGCACCTATATGTGTGGCATCTGTGAGTGCGACGAGCAGCATTTTGGTAACACCTGCGAGTGCTCCACGTCCGATATGCATTTGAATAATGGCAATGATAATATGTGCCGGCCGAGCAACGATACGAGCGTGGCCGAATGCAACGGTCGTGGCAGCTGTGTGTGCGGCGCCTGCGAATGCCACAAGCGCACCAATCCCGACGAGATCATCTCGGGCAAGTATTGCGAGTGCGAGAACTTCAGCTGTGAGCGACGCAAGAATTTATTGTGCTCGGGCCCCGATCACGGCACCTGCGAGTGCAATCGCTGTGTGTGCAAGCCCGGCTGGACGGGCAACAGCTGCGACTGCCAGACATCGAAGGACACGTGCATGCCACCAGGCGGCGGTGAGATCTGCTCGGGCCACGGCACCTGCGAGTGCGGCGTCTGCAAATGCAAAACAATGGACGAGGGCCGCTACTCGGGTAAATATTGCGACAAGTGCCCCACATGCTCGGGCCGTTGTCACGACCTGAAGGACTGCGTCCAGTGCCAAATGTATCAGACGGGTCAGCTGAAGAACGGCGATGATTGCGCCAAGAACTGCACCACATTCACGGCCATTAGCGTTGATACGGTCAAGATCGACGAGCACAAGGACGAGCAGCTGTGCGTGTTCTTCGACGAGGATGATTGCAAGTTTACGTTCAAATACAGTGAGGTGGGTGAGCTGGTCGTCTATGCCCAGCAGGAGAAGGAATGCCCGCCCAAGGTCTTTATGCTGGGCATTGTCTTGGGCGTCATCGCCGCCATTGTTCTCGTTGGCTTGGCCATATTGCTGCTCTGGAAGCTGCTGACCACCATACACGATCGTCGCGAATTCGCACGCTTCGAGAAGGAGCGCATGAATGCCAAATGGGATACGGTAAGACAACGATTGATATTAACGGTCAGAGAAGGGATTATATAATTGATTTTGTTTTTTGCTTCCCCAGGGCGAGAATCCTATCTACAAGCAGGCCACATCCACCTTCAAGAATCCCATCTATGCGGGCAAATAATTTGCAATGCGAATGTGCCCATTGTTTTCATTAGTGAAATTTGCCATTCTAAACACTGACTGTCCACTATTATTTACCGTTTGCTAACCCAACTGAATCAATCAGCCAGCCAATCGCTCCAGTCAATTGAAGCAGCTTCCTTTTTCTCTTCTCTTTTACATCAAATGGTGCGCGTGCCACATGCAACAAGAAACAACAACAAGAAAACAAAATGCTTGAACAAAAGTCAAACTGCCATTGAAACGCGTTCTTAACTAAGTCAAATTTATATAGATATATATATATATAAATATATATACTATATATGTATGTATACACACACACACATATGTGTTGCTTCCATTTGAAAAGCAAACGAATTGTGCCTTGCAATATATACGATATATATTTTAGATTCTTTTATATACATGTACAAGAAAAACAAAATCAACAAGAAAATGTTAATGACAAAAGCTTCCATTTGTAAACCGCCAAAACTAACAAGCAGAATAACAACAACAACAACAATGAACGCACAAACAACCAAAATCAATGCAACAATCAAACAACCAGCAAAAAAAAAAAAAAAAAAAAAAAAACCGATCTAAAAACAACAAAATTACTTAAGAACACCAAAGTGTGCCTCTCTAACTTTCAACTAACCAACGAATCGATCATTTGTAATATATATATATATATATATATATATACATCAGATATATATAATTATGTACATCAACTATGTGCTGCCCACAAAGACAACAACAACAACAATGTCATCGAGCTGCGATTGTGTGTAGCACATTTGATATTATAAATCTACATATTAATTCATTATTTCTTGAAATTTCGTAACTTAAGTATTCGGTTTTTCTTATTGGATCGGATTAATGTCCATTTATTTATTAGCTAAACGATCCAAAAAGCAACAATAACTGAATTTAATATGCCAATTTAAAGGAGTAGACGAAGCAGAAGAAGAGGAAAAAACTAAACTAAACAAAAAACTGATTTTGTTAACTTTATGGACTTGCGCCTATTTTTTTTGTTTGCCGTCAATTATTTCGTGTTTTCTTTTTTAATGTGTATGTTTATTATTATTATTATGTATTTTTTTTAAATATAAATATTATGTTTATTTTAAATCTAACTTTACAATTAATATTTAAGCATATTAACATTTAAGCTTTTAAGTGACAACCGAAAAGATACAAGAACAAAAAAATTGTGCCTGAATTTGATTAATGATTTTCGTGGCTTTTCCAATTTTTTTGATCAATAATAGTATATTAATGCTACCCTAATAAAAAACATAAACAAAAACATAAAAAAAAAAAACAAACATATTTTTGCGATTTGTACTGATTACTGATTAACAATAAAACGAAATGTATTTTGAGTGTAATAAAAAAAGAAACAAACAAAAAACCTAAATAATTGTTTATAAACAAAATGTGGAGACACTGGCAATTTTAATGAAGCATATAAACATACATATAATACAAATTGTTTGATGCTAATTTTAGTGAAATAAACGAAAATAAAAAAATGATACAAATTTATATGGAGTCTTAATTCTAATAAGAGAGAGAGAGAGAGAGAGAGAGAGAGAGAGTGAAAGAAAGAGACAGAGAGATATCAATAAGAGCGAGAAGCATCATCAGTTGCAGTTATGAAGTAGGAGGAGAATAGAGTGATAAGGGCAAAACAGTGTATAATATGATATTTGATCTTCAAGTACATTCAATCCAAAGTATAGATTAAAGCAACCCAACTCTCTATAGGTTAGAGCCATTCATACAACGATTTCATGAGGCCTGCTCAAGCCGAAGCATTTAATATAACTAGGAATAGCATTCAAGGAATAGTACGGAACCAAATTGAAAGAATCTGTGGGAATTTATGCAGATGTATGACATATTTGATGTTTAAAGAATATCTTATAAGTATTCAAAAAGTATGCTATGTCGGAAAGATCGGCTTTGGTTGATTTCGGCTTTTGGCAGCTGAAATCAGTGACACAGTCTTTTAACTTTTAGCACTGATGAGAGAATATCAAACAGCTGCGATAGAGAAACAAATATTTTTCAAACTTAATGTGGTCAAAAGCTTTTATTGTCCGTATGTGGAGGAAACTTGTTCTCCTCAAGAGCAACTGACTAAAGGCGCCCCACAGATACAACCCTTCCCACAGTATGAAATTGCAGCGAAAGAGGAAAACACATGGTTTATGGCAGGATAGGTAGGGTTCTTTATGTATGTGTATTAAGTGCATGAGAATGTATTAAGAGATCAAATAAGTACCAAAGGATAATAATCAAACAACGCAAAATACAATAAACAAACAACGCAAAATACAAATAAAGAAGTAAAAAGAACTTAGAATATGTATGAGTTGTGTGTGAGGTTCAAAGAGGACAGAAATTTTTCTGACGGTTGCTGACACTCCGCTTTAGAATGATCCTCACTCGTCCTTCCAGTGGAGACTGAAATCCCTCGTCGAATTGAAGCGGCGCCTCTAGGGGAAGGGCATGTCCTCGTCATTTGCCAATGGTGAGACCCTTGCCTTATTACGGTCACTGAACGAGGGCGACGAGTGATGAGAGATAGCCATGTTAATGCTTAATGCTACTCGAGATCATCGGAGTGGATAAACTTCGCGTTCTGGTTAGCTCCATGACTTTCGAAATTTGCTTTATTATTGGACAACCAAATAATTTTGCTTTTTTCCGAAATAAAACAGAAATATTACTTTTTCCCGAAAAAAAACTTAAATTTGGAAAAATGCTCGATATGTGTTGAGCTCTGTATTCAGTTTGAAAGTGAAGAGAAATAGTTCCAGCTCCCAGTCACAACACTGCCTCGATTCCAAAGCCTACTCAGGAAAAATTAATTCAAACTCCCAAGATTGAGAATGAATTGTATAACCAGTTATCTGAGCTTACGTTTACCCAGAATCAACATCCTACATAGCCGAACGTAACTAAGAAAGCAATTATTGGGGTTATCGGCTGTCAGTAATATATTAGCCTAAAAGCTAATCTAAGAACAAAGGATCATAAGATAACGTTTTTATACCTTGAACCCATTAAGAATGGGACTTGGGAAATAGTTTCGTGAAAAGTATGTAACAGGCAGAAGAAATCATCGCAAACCCCATAAAGTATATATATTCTTGATCAGGACGACGAGCTGAGTCTATATGGTCCTGTCCGTCTGCCTGTCCGTCTGTCTGTATGAAGTCATCAGATATAAGAGTTAGAGACTTGATTTTATAAAATGTGCGTATATACAGCGCGGATATCGACTTTATCTTAAAAAATCGATAATTAATTCCGTTATGTTGTTATCGATTATAAATATTATCGAATATAAGTTATTTTATTATATTTCCTACACATTAAAAGTTAGAGCTTCTAAATTTTATATGTAGATTTATATGTATTTTCTAGAATTTCGATTTTGTTGTAATTTACCCCCACCAATACTAAAGAAATTATTAAACTAGCCTGTCCCCTTCTCTCTCTTCACCAATCACTCCCCTCCCTATACCTACCCCTCCCTCGCCTTTCCCATCTCTTACCCATTCCCTCAGGCTCCCTTCCATTCTGACCCTCTTCTTTCCTCTACTACTATATCCTATCCTTCTCTTATCCGATCCCCAACCCTCAAGGACAGTGAACCCTTAAGATCATTGAACCCCTCAAGGTCATTGGCCCCACAAGGTCATGGGCCCCTCAAGGTCACTGGTCCCTCAAGGTCATTGACCCCTCAAGGTCAATGGCCCCTTAAGGTTCAGGCTATCTCCTAGTCTCGATTAGAGAGTCTTCTTACTTGTTTATATTTATTTAGGTTACACCGGCATATGAGACTAATATTTTCTATGTAATGAACTAGAAAGACATCACTTGGAAATATCCATTGGAGTCTCGTCCTTCACTGTTTTACATTCATCTCCGTTGTCCAATCGTTCACGTTCTTTTTTCGATACATAAGCAGTAAATGGAACTACCTAACCTTGGTCTTGTACCAAGGACTAAAAGATATATAACACCAGCATCAAACTAACTAAAAACGCCCCACAGTATGAAATTGTAGCGATAGAGGAAAACACATGTTTTATGGTTAGATAATATATTAAGTGCATGAAAAAGTATTAAGAGATCATATAAGTACCAATAGATAATAACAAAATAATAACAACGCAAAATACAAAAAAAAAAGAAGTAAAACTAGCTTAGAATATGAATGAGTGTGAGAATGTGTGTGAGGTTCAAAGAGGACAGAAATTTTTCCGACGGTTGCTGACACTCCGCTTTAGAATGATCCTCACTCGTCCTTCCAGCGGAGACTGAAATCCCTCGTCGAATTGAAGCGGCGCCTCTAGGGGAAGGGCATGTCCTCGTCATTTGCCAATGGTGAGACCCTTGCCTTATTACGGTCACTGAACGAGGGCGACGAGTGATGAGAGATAGCCATGTTAATGCTTAATGCTACTCGAGATCATCGGAGTGGATAAACTTCGCGTTCTAGCTAGTTCCATGGCTTTCGAAATTTGCTTTATTATTGGACAACAAAATAATTTTGCTTTTTTTCCGAAATAAAACAGAAATATTACTTTTTCCCGAAAAAAAAACTTAAATTTGGAAAAATGCTCGACATGTGTTGAGCTCTGTATTCAGTTTGAAAGTGAAGAAAAATAGCTCAGGCTCCTAGTCACAACACAGCCTCGATTCCAAAGCCTACTCAGCAAAAAATAAAGCAAACTCGATTGCAAAGCCTACTCAATGAATTTAATATCAATTCTATTCTCGATTCCAAAGCCTACTTAGGCTCAATTAAGAGTGGTTTAGTCGAGACTGCTTGATCAAAAATATATGTACATTCCATTTCCTATTTCCAATGGGTTCAGGGTATAAAGGCATTTTTTTGTTTCATATTTAATGTGTCCCACCTTATCGGTATTAATATCAAGTATACGCCTTGGTAAACAACTGAAGTAATTTTCAGCTAATATAAGCAAAATAGATGACGTGGATTTTTAAGTTTAAAAGTACTTTAAGTGTGAAAGTACTTTATATGTTGAAAGGGCCATATACATAGATGTGGCACGTTATATTCGTCGTATGGAGCCTCATTTATGCCGTCAAGATCAGTCCACAGTATTCCCCAGACCTTACACACCTGGACTTTCGACATTTGGCACTGATAAGACGCAATAAAGAACGCGAGTGAAAATATCAAATTGCAGCGAAAGAAGAACACACATGTTTTATGGCAGGATAGTTAGGTTTCTTAATGTATGTGTATTAAGTGCATGAAAATGTATTAAGAGATCAAATAAGTACCAAAGGATAATAAACAAACAACGCAAAATACAAAAAAAGAAGTAAAACTAACTTAGAATATGAATGAGTGTGAGAATGTGTGTTAGGTTCAAAGAGGACAGAAATTTTTCCAACGGTTGCTGACACTCCGCTTTAGAATGATCCTCACTCGTCCTTCCAGAGGAGACTGAAATCCCTCGTCGAATTGAAGCGGCGCCTCTAGGGGAAGGGCATGTCCTCGTCATTTGCCAATGGTGAGACCCTTGCCTTATTACGGTCACTGAACGAGGGCGACGAGTGATGAGAGATAGCCATGTTAATGCTTAGTGCTACTCGAGATTATCGGAGTGGATAAACTTCGCGTTCTAGCTAGTTCCATGGCTTTCGAAATTTGCTTTATTATTGGACAACCAAATAATTTTGCTTTTTTCCGAAATAAAACAGAAATATTACTTTTTCCCGAAAAAAAACTTAAATTTGGAAAAATGCTCGATATGTGTTTAGCTCTGTATTCAGTTTGAAAGTGAAGAAAAATAGCTCAGGCTCCTAGTCACAACACAGCCTCGATTCCAAAGCCTACTCAGCTAAAACTAATAATAATATTTACCCCCACCAATACGAAAGAAATTATTAAACTAGCCTGTCTACCTCTCTATCTTCACCAATCACTCCCCTCCCTATGCCTACCCCTCCCTCGCCTTTCCCATCTCTCACTCATCCTCTCAAGCTCCCTTCCATTCAGTCCCTCTTCTTTCCTCTACCTCTATATCCTATCCCTCTCTCATCCGATCCCCAACCCTCAAGGTCATTGAACCCTTCAAGATCACTGGCCCCTCAAGGTTACTGACCCGTCAAGGCCACTGGCCCCTCAAGGTCACTGACCCGTCAAGGTCGCTGGCCCCTCAAGGTCACTGACTCCTCAAGGTTCAGGCTATCTCCTAGTCGAACAGTCTCGATTAGAGAGTCTTCTTACTTGTTTATATTTTTTTAGGTTACACCTCAGTAATCTCTACCACCTAAGAAACGGTATATGAGACTAATATTTTCTATGTAATAAACTAGAACTTGGAAATATCCATTGGAGTCTCGTCCTTCACTGTTTTACATTCATCTCCGTTGTCCAACTCGTTCACGTTCTTTTTTCGATACATAAGCAGTAAATGGAACTACCTAACCTTGGTCTTGTACCAAGGACTAAAAGATATATAACACCAGCATCAAACTAACTAAAAACGCCCCACAGTATGAAATTGCAGCCATAGAGGAAAACACATGTTTGATGGTTAGATAATATATTAAGTGCATGAAAAAGTATTAAGAGATCAAATAAGTACCAATAGATAATAACAAAATAATAACAACGCAAAATACAAAAAAAGAAGTAAAACTAACTTAGAATATGAATGAGTGTGAGAATGTGTGTGAGGTTCAAAGAGGACAGAAATTTTTCCGACGGTTGCTGACACTCCGCTTTAGAATGATCCTCACTCGTCCTTCCAGCGGAGACTGAAATCCCTCGTCGAATTGAAGCGGCGCCTCTAGGGGAAGGGCATGTCCTCGTCATTTGCCAATGGTGAGACCCTTGCCTTATTACGGTCACTGAACGAGGGCGACGAGTGATGAGAGATAGCCATGTTAATGCTTAATGCTACTCGAGATCATCGGAGTGGATAAACTTCGCGTTCTGGTTAGCTCCATGGCTTTCGAAATTTGCTTTATTTTTGTTTAACCAAATAATTTTACTTTTTTCCGAAATAAAACAGAAATATTACTTTTTCCCGAAAAAAAAAACTTAAATTTGGAAAAATGCTCGATATGTGTAGAGCTCTGTATTCAGTTTGAAAGTGAAGAGAAATAGTTCCAGCTCCCAGTCACAACACTGCCTCGATTCCAAAGCCTACTCAGCAAAATGTAAGTCAAATTCCAGGGCAAAGCCTACTCAACGAATTTAAATTCAACTCTATGATGTATCCTCGATTCCAAAGAGTACTTAGTAAGGAGTAAGAGGGCTTCAGTCGAAATTGCCCGACTACGAAATCTCCTGTAGCCTTGGAAGAACGGATTTTCTAATCATTCTTCGTTTCACGTTAATTTATATAAAAATTAGTAGACATCAGTTCAAAAAATGTTATCGATTTTTGGAAAAAGTTCGATGTGCTAAACAGGGACATACAAATTAAATTTCAGGTGTCCAGATCTAATAAATTCTGAGATAGACATGTTCATATATACTATAGACAGACATCCTTATCAAAAATATATACTCTGTGGGTCCTGCCATGCCTCCACGTGCCTGTTACTTACATTTTAGCAAAACTATTATACCCTGATATTTCATTTTCCATGGGTTCAGATTATTCCAAAAGTTCAATTTAGTTTATAGATTCAATCTTTATGCAAGAACAATATTCACATATTATATATACATATAATATATATAATTACGTATTTCCAGGATTCCAAAGATTACCTAAGCTGAAATGTAATTATGTTCCATGCTTGACATTTGTCTGTAACTTAACTCTAAATTAATTATATGTATATGTTATCATAACAATTGTATATTACAAACAAATAAAAAAAACGAACTAGAATTCTTTCATGTTAAGCGCAAAATATATAATATGTATGTATATGTATATAAGGCATTCTTTTGAGTACTATTCAAGAAAGTTAGCATCTTAATGGTTTAATGACTTTCATTATATTTAGTAGATCTCATCATTGAATCCATCGATCCATCGATTGGAGCTGCATTGCATGTTCTTGTATAATAAAAACGAATCGATTTTATTACATTATTGTTGAAGTTTGTTTATAAAATTCGTTGGAAAAATGTCTGGAAGTCGATGATTTCTGTGTGGTTTATTGGTAAAAACAAAAAAAAAAAAAAAAAAAAAAAAAAAAAAAAAAAAAAAAAAAAAAAAAAAAAAAAAAACCAAAAAATAAAAAAAAAAGATGTTTTCTAAACAAGTTTGTGGGGTGCTGCTATAATCTCCGCAATCAATAGCTCTAAATGTGTTTATATAAATATAATATATATATATATATATATATATATATTATATTTATATAGATATTTATATATATATATCCATTAGATGTTTCTCTCTGAGTGTATGTGTGTGGGTGGGGTCTGTGTATGTGTGTTGCCTAGGACATGTTGGCTGTGTAAGAAGGACACTTCCGACTTAAGTACGTTCCACAACAATATTGAGCAACTAACAATGATGCAAAGATGGCTCGGCCGTCTGCCCCGCCCACCCGCTTTTATATATGCCACCGAGGACATCTTATTATTCATGCTCATCGCCAGTCTATAAACGAGAGATATTTTTGCATTGATCGCGCTTTTGAAGCTTCTAAGCAGACAGGCAGGCAGGCAGGCGGGTAGGCGGGTAGGCGGGCAGACTGGGAGTCGGGCTGGCAGTCAGTCAGTGTTCGCATGCTGGACAGCTGACACTTTAGTGGAAGATCAAATCCGCATCGGGTGCACCCTTCTGGTGCTTGAATTTGTTCTTGTTGGGCTTCTGGTAGTAGCTCTGCGTAAAGTTGCGCTGTTGCAGCGGCAGGAGCGACTCCTGATAGTCCTCCTCCTCGATGCGCTCTGTTATGTTCAGGGTCAGTCGCTTGACGCGCTCCTTCTCCTCGCGCGTCTTCTGCTCCTGCAGCTTCAGATTGATGGCCAACTGGGAGTCCGATGGGGCCACAAATGACTTGAACTGCTGTTTGCCTCCTTTATTGCCGCGCACCATCAGCACAAACGGCACAGCACCGCTGCCCTTGCCACTGCAACCGCCACCGGCACTAGCCTCTGTGGCGGCGACATCATTCGAGGAGGTGGCAGCAGTTGCTGACGTTAAATGGTTGCCACCATCCCAATTGTGGCCATGATTTGTGGGAGTGGTGGGGGCAGAAGCATTGCCCTTTGAGATCTGCATTGCATTGTTGCAGTTTAGCTGGTCGTAGGACTTCTTTTGCAGGCGTGCCATCATGGGCACCGGTATATCCTTGTGGGTGGCTTTGAGTGGCGGCTCCTTGAGTCGCTCCTGATACGAGTCGCTGGTCATCTTCTCATACATTTGCTCGAATTCCAGATCCTCCTTGGATTTCTCCGGCGGCGGCGGTGGCGCCACTGGCTCCACCTCATATTCAGTCCAGTTGCCTTGATCTGCCTCCTCCGAGCCGCCAGCCGCTTGACGTTCCCGCTGATCATCCGATGAGCCCGAGTCATCCGTGACCTTGAGTACAAATTGTAATGCCATAAATAGAAACAAATCGGCCTAGAGAAATATATATATATATACACGACTTACGCCATCGTCGAGTTCGTTGATTTCATTGATTGTATCCAAGCTGGAATCCTGCGCATTATTGTTGTTGTTGCTGCAGGCTCTCAGCTGTGGATACAGCTGCTCCTGCAGCTGATCGATGGCCTCTTTGGCCTGCTCCAGATTCTTGTACAGCTTCAGCTTCGGCCGCACACTGGCCAAACAGTCGCGATAGGTGTGATCGACGAGTATGGGAAACAGATCGGAAGTATTTTCCGACTTGCTGAATACCGGATGCGACTTCTTGTGCCAATAATAGCGCTGAAAGAACACCAAGAAGTAGTCCAATCTGCGGAAGAAAAGATAACGGTCTGAATTAGCTACTGACATCAAAATAGTCCAATTCCAATTAAATTACTTCTTGCGCGTGGCCTGGCTGGTGAAGTAGGGAGCACATGTATCGAGCAGCATGCAGGCGAGCTTCAGGCGAAACAGACTCTCCGGCGGATCGAGCGGCGATATGACAGACTGATCCAATGTCACACCAAGCGATATTATCGAATAGAGGGTGTTCAGTATATGCGAGGATTCCACCAGCTTATAGTTGTACATCTCGCCCAGGTACTTGGCCATGGCGATGCGACGCTGCGACATCTTGGGCGAATGTATCTCGAGGCCGGCGCGTATATCCTCAAATACATTGTCGATGACAATGGTGACAGCACGCGGCTGGTAGGAGCTCAGTCCGGAGACAAGATCGGCCAGGCAACGGATGAGTGGGAAGCGCAACAGATACGCTTTGCTCAGGCACTTGATAGCATAGTTATAGACATCCGGATCGTCCCAATTGATGCGTCGCAGCATCTTAATGCAACGCTCCACATTCTGCTTGCACAGCTCCTCAAATATCAAATGGCGTATATACTCGTGCATTACCGGCCGTGGGGCTAGCTCACGCTTCGCCGACTCCGGCGGCTTGACCAGATAGTAAACACTCTCAATTTGCGCCGCATGACGCGAATCCATTGCCGTCGCCGTCTTCAAGCGCAGCATCTGATCGAGAAAGACGTTCATCAGCAGCCGCGAGTCACGGCAATTGTACAGATAGACGCCGCTGACCTCGACAAAGGCGCACGCCATCTCGATGTGATGATGGATAAAGTCACGCAGCAGCATCTTCAGGCAGCCCAGAGCATCGAACTTCTTGAACAGTCCGAACTTGACCAGTTCGCCAATGAAGCGTACGATCTTCAGCTTTGACTCAATGTTCAGCTGATTCTTCTTGCGGATGTGCCACTTGAATTCCTTGCGCAGCAAATCGGACAGATCCGCGGCCACATCCGTGTTGCACATGTGCACAATGGCCACGAATCGTGACAGATATGGTAAGATATCGAGTCGTGTGCGCTGCACACTGAATATAGTTCGCGTTAGCTTCTTCCGCTGATGCTTTGTATTGTAGTTGAGCAGAAACTCGATCGCGGCCGAGTCGATAAGCTCCTTGTTCACGCAATTGAATAGATTGAGTAGAAAAACATCGAACTGTTGCCGTAGATTTTGACTCTGCGATTGTGTCTGCCGTGTCCCAACATAGATCAAGAGAGGGGGCGAGAGACAGAAAGAGAGAGAGAGAGAGAGAGAGAGTGTGTGATTAGAATTGTCTTTGCGCTATCGAATCAAGTTCGACCTAAGCAGCTGCTTAACCACTCACCGTTTGTTGTTGCTGTTGCTGAAGAGCACAGCGCAAACGTGTGAAAGAGAGAGCAATAGTAATAAGAAAGAGAGAGATAGTGAGAGTAAAGAAAGAGAGAGAAAGAAGTAGTAAGAGTGTGGCAGAGAGAGAGAGATGGAGAGAGAGAGCGAGAGCGATAATGATAGTAAATAAATAAGAAAGCAATGGTAAGAGTAAAAGAGATAGAAAGAGAGAGAAACGGCAATAGTGAATGTAAGCGAGAGCGCGATAGCTATGATGCACTTACCGTTAGCTGCTGCTGCTGTTGCTGTTGTTGACGTCCCAGTTCCATTAGCGCACTGCCCATTTTCTTATCAATGGGCAGAGGAGGAACAGCAACAGTTGCACCTGGAAGTGCAGTTCCTGCTGCTGCTCCTAGCTCAGCTGCAGCGCCTGGCTGCTGTTGCTCCTCCTGATCCTTGTCGAGCGCCGTATCGCTGGTCGCTGATGGCGGATCATCCATATCTAGCTCAGCATCAATATTTGCATCAATGGCCTCCTCGGTCAGCTCGCTAGGCTCTTCGAGCGTTTCCAGATCCACTTTGGGCGCCGAGAAGTTGGGCAAAAATTGTCGCAAGTCTGGTAAATCGGTGTAAAAGGCGCGCGTCTCCTCATCGCCCCACGGGTCGAGCGTACCAAAGGCGGCGCTGTCCAGCATATTATCGATGACTGTGCCCGGATTACAGCACTCCGACTCCTTAGTCAGCTCTGGCATCGGTTCACCCAGCAGCTCGGAGAGCGACTGAGCCGAGGCGAGCAGTTTATCGAAGCTCGCCTGCATCAGCTCGCATTTCTCACGTTTCTCCTGGCTGATCTCGCCCTTGCATTCCATGGTGCGCCTTATGTTCTTGGTCATGTTCATGAGGGCGGCCTGCTCGGCCAGCACATGCTTGCAGAGCGCCTTGAAGTATCCCTTGAGCATGGTGCGCAAGTTGAGCTGCTTGTCGGCACTCAGGAAATCCGATTTGGGCACCTCGATGTCGTATTTGAGAGCCAGCTGCTGCATCTTTTGCGGCACCAGGCCGGCATACTCCTCGCCACAGTGGCGACAGAACGACAATATTATTGAGAAGTTGCTATGATCGTCCTTGTCCATGGCTATCAGCTGCACCAGCACCATCCCAAGCAGCGCCAAGCCCGGCTTCATCTGTATAACACCCGAGCTGACCAGCTCTGCGAACAGACGCAGATCCACGCGCAATTTACTCGGATTGCTGATCTTCTCTGTTGCCTTCAGAGCCTTTTGCCAAGCCTCAAGAAACTGTGTACTGAAGTCCGCATAGGTGCAGTGCAGCTTGGAGGCCAGCGTTACCACGGCTGGCACATCCGTCATCTTCAACTTGGCCTCCGTCAAAGCCGCGCATATTTCGGATATATATTTGCTTAGATTTAGGGCCGAGAGTTCGCGCAATAGCGAGTCCAGCTGTGTGCTTGTGAAGAGTTTCAATTTCTTGACGAATGCCGTATTCTTCTTTAGGCTAGAGTCAAGGCGCGCAAAGTATTCATCACCGGGTAGCTCGAAGTTGGCGTTTTGCTGTCGCAGCTGACGCTTGGCGTCTATCTTTTCCTGCAATTCGCTAATGAATTGCTTCAGTTCAGCCAGTCCCTCAACCTCATTGGCTGGGACTCCAACGATTCCTCCAGTCGCTATGGCATCTGATGATTCGATATCTGCCTCGCTTACAGTTGCACTTGCTGTTGTTGGAGTTGTTGCCACTGCCGCGTCAGATGCTGATGTTGTTGGCACTGTGGGCGCCTCGCTTATTTTGTTGGCGCTCATGGCATTAAATAGGTTGAATTCGGTTGTTTAAGTTCTAAAAATTGCTTGCTTTGCGAACTGTTCAACCAAATCTGTTTTCGAATATTATGTGTTATTTGATTAAACTGCATTCGCCTTCTAGATTCCCAACTAATGTTTCGATTTCCAAGTGTTGTCTAGTGTTGTTTTTTTTTCTCTTCTTTTTTTGCGTTGACCGTTTTCGTGGTGCACATCGAACATCGCACATCTGTATGTAAGTTATGTGTACACACTCATACTTTAACATAAGCTGTGTGTGATATTATATATCGATGAGCGTGACCGGCACAATGTTATGAAGATGTATCGAACATACAAATGTATCGAGATGTTATTGAAAATGTAATTGTACAACTTTTAGAAACCGAGTACCAGTATTTTAAAGAGAATTATTAAGAGCTCTTAAACCAAAATTAAACACAAAAATTGATATATATACTAAAATACTACTTCTCCACACTCTTACACAAATTGATTTAACCTAGACAATAAAGGATTAGGATAGTCGCTCACATATTTAAAATAAAACATCGATATAACGATGTTTTATCGATTCAAAACATTTCACATCGCTAAACATGTGGCAACTCCGGTGTTTTGACAAATTCATATATTGTGCTTGCCGCTATACGGTCACATTCAACCAGCTGCAGTCATTAAAGCAAGTTTCTCAAAATGTTCAAAAAGTATGTATTAAATATAAGCAGATGCCTATTTGGCAACTAACTTTTGTAGATATATAGATTCGAGGAAAAGGACAGCATCTCATCGATTCAACAACTCAAATCGTCCGTACAGAAAGGCATACGTACAAAACTATTGGAGGCATATCCAAAACTAGAAACGCACATTGATTTAATATTACCCAAAAAAGACTCGTATCGCATTGCCAAATGGTAAGCATTTCAGTATCTATAAATTGAAGACTAATAGCATTCTAATTAAATTTTCTACATAGCCATGATCACATCGAACTGCTGCTAAATGGTACCGGCGAGCAGGTATTCTTTAGACACCGGGACGGTCCATGGATGCCGACATTGCGTTTGCTGCACAAATTCCCATACTTTGTTACCATGCAGCAAGTGGACAAGGGTGCAATCCGTTTTGTTTTGAGCGGCGCCAACGTCATGTGTCCTGGCTTAACATCGCCGGGCGCCTGCATGACGCCGGCGGAAAAGGGCACAGTTGTTGCCATCATGGCTGAAGGCAAGGAGCATGCGCTAGCAATTGGACTACTCACGCTTTCCACGGAAGATATGTGCGTAACAAGGGCTTAAATTAATATTCATATATAATTTGTTTCTAATTCTTTGCCTCTTGCAGCTTGAAGAAAAACAAAGGCGTCGGCATTGAGACATATCATTTCCTCAATGATGGTCTCTGGAAATCGAAACCCGTGAAGTAGAATGGCTAGCATGGCTAGTTGATAGAGCTGTGGCAGCGCCTCGTCAGGCATTCGTGTCCTACTAAATAGTCTTCGAGAGCAAAAGAATGTTTTTGATTTTTTTTTTTTTTTTTGCGCATATTAAGCATTTGAAAGAGCATTGTATTTAATATTTTTGTAATTTTAAATGCGAGTTAAATTATTTTAAATCAATTCGAAATATATACAATTGAAGTGCACTCAAATGCCAAAAGGCGTGCGCATTCACTTGCGCACTCAGCGGTTGGCGAAACCACCTGTGGCAATGACCCTGGCGTTGGTGGTCAGGGCTGTCATTGGGGATGGTTGTTGCACAAATTTGACCAGAGATTTTAGGTTGGAATGTTTTATTGACTTTTTGATAATTGCCATAAGAGCTCTTACTAGCTTTAAGACTCTTTGATTGACTACTTCATTGATTTTTCAATGAGTTGGACAGCATAATAAATCAGCTGTTGGTCGTATAACGGTTCACATTGTGCACTGGTCCATTTCGTGCTCATCGACGTGACGTCACTATTACTATCAGTATACATTAATCTAATAAGAAAAACATCGACCTGCATGGAAAAGTAAGCGAAGCAAATGTTCCCATAAACACAAAAGGAAAAAACAAAGCTTAAGGCATTAAAAAAAAACGTACAGCATTTTATAGCTTGGATTCATAAATAATTTACAAAGAGCGCACATATTAAGCATAACCTTCTATATTGCACCACGTGAGAGTTCGCGTAGAATTCGTATGCCGCATGCGCAAGTAACGGTCTTTCTGCTAATATGTGTGACGTACGTATGCTTCGGTGTGTGCATGTATTGTACGTCAGCAGAAACAGCAGCAGCGTAAAAAGAAATTGTTTTCAGTTTCAGTTGCTGTCAGCATTTGTCGCACAGTAAGCAGTCAACGACAATTGCAACGGTTTTTGTAAGAAACACAAAATAGCAATATATATACATATATAAGCAAAAACAAAAAAAAAAAAAGGGATAGGAAAAGTGTTGAAAAACCACAAGTGGTAGACAAGAGTTGAACAATATCCGAAACGGCAAAAGGATGAAACACAAAAGCAGAAACTTATGAAGCATTTGAAAGTGATTGTGTGTATGTGTGTGTGTGGGCTTGTGTGGCATATGGAATAAAAAAGGGACATTCAAATTTAAATCCCGTACGTTGCAGCAGTGCACAGACGCGCGTGTGTGTGTGCGTGTCTGTTTGTGTGTGGGTGTATGTGTGTCTCGGTATATGCGCCTTTTAATGTATGAAAAGTTTTTCAAGGAAAACGGATACACACTGCTTGAACTTTTTTTGAAGGTGCAAAATGCAAGAGCAAAGTTTCCACACTTCTTTCATTCTTATTGTCTTTTTGTCATTTTGTTTTTGTTTTGTTATTGCTCAAGTGGGCGTGTGAGTCATGTTGCGAATTGCAAGTGGTCGCCAGGAGCAACAGCAAAGCATACGAAAAAAATAAAATAGTACATGCACACGCACATAAGGAGGACTGTCGGCACTCTAAACAATATGGCTACAATATGCCGTTGTAATGCATTTCGTTTTCTGTTACACGTTTATTGATTTTACTCCAATCTTAATACAATTTTGTTTTTTTTGTTTTTTTTTTTTTTTTTAAATACTTTTTGAGCAGGCGCTGGCGCTAATTGAGTTGATGTTGATGACATGCATAGGCGAATCGTTCGCGCCTGCCATTCGCATTTACAACTGAGCAACAACAACAGCAGCAGCACCAAAGGCGAAGAAGGCGTGCAAAGGCAACAACAACAAAAATAGCAACAACGACGCATACATTAACAGCTAAAGACGCGAGCAACAGCGCCAAGTGTCAGACGCAGCCAGCAAACTAAAGCGAGTGAGGCAGAGAGAGACAGGGAGAGCACGCAAAGCAAAGAGTTGCATGTGTGTGTGTGTGCAATATGGAAGACCTTTTTCTGCTAATTATCAAGGAGTCAACGGGCACCAAGCACAACGCGCTGCGACAAACGGCGCAAATTGCTTACGGTAAATGTTTGCATATATATAAATGCTCTTCGTTTTAACGTGTGTGTGAATGTGTGCGTGTGTGAACAACAACAACAACCACAACAATAAAAATCAACAGCAATGGTAACGGTAACGACAACGGCAACGGCGCATTGAAAACATGCAAGAACGCAATTTCCTCTTTTGGAGTTGTTGCTTTTACTGTTCTTCCTCTTCGCTTGCTACTCATTATTGTTGTTGTTGCCGTTGTTGGCGTGTCCGCCCTTTTGCACATCCGTTGACATTTCCTTTGTTTTATACCCTGCAGCAAATGAAAACAGTTTGAAAAACGGGAATGTCTAGTTGTTGTGTAGAGAATTGAATTAGAACAAAACAAAGAGTTTGGACACTTAGCAAAAGTTTGTATTAAATTTAAGAAAAGATAACCGAGTTACAGTTGGATTTCAAAAGCTGTTATATACATACATATTTCATTATTAAGTTGCGAAAAGTTTATATCGAATTTAACCCAAGCAGTATAATAACTAACTTAAAGTCAAATTTCATAGGCTGTTCATATATTTATTTATTTAGCAATACTTAGCTGTCTCTAGGGTATAAACTATTCAATCACTTTCGACTTATTCTCTTGGCTGTTCACGGACCTTATCTTTGACCGTAGCGGCAGGAAAGTAGGCAACAATTTGTGGCTAGCTTCGCCTGCTTCAATTCATTACGCCATTTCGACCTAATTGCTGGCCTAGAGTATACTCTAGTCGTACGCATTCAAGTAGACCATTTATCCCGTTACATTTTGTTGTTGTTGTTGTTCAATAAGTTTGTCATTGACCGCGGCAGCAGGAAAGTGGGCAACCATTTGTGGCTAGTTGCCTGCTGATTCGTTTCGTTGCCCGGCGTAATTGTTGGCCTGGTCAGAGCGCCGTGCGTTTAATGCTGATAAGCCACTTGGAGCGTTTCGATTTCGATTTCGTTTGACCATTTATGTATTTGCAGATAAACTTTATCGACAGCATGGCATACACAGGGATCCATCGCACGAGCTGCGCTCCGTGTGCTTTACGGCATTGCAAATGGCCTTGGACACGAAGCGGCCAAAGTTCATCACAATGGGCCTTAATGGTCTGCATGTAAGTAGAAAACAAAGAAACAAAAGCAAAAGCGAAAACACATAAGCAAGCAACTTGGTATGAACAACAACAAGGGGCAACAAAGAGGCGGACGAGTCAATTATCGAACGGGTTTCCAGGCAATTGTCCGCCCGTTTCCGTTTCCGTTTCCGCACCGGATATGCTCAGACTGACAGCAGACACGAAATTGCGAAAATTGTAAAATGAGTTTAGCTAATTGCCCAAAGCCAGTCAGATGGACGGACGGATAGAAGGACCTCGTCCCAGTCCCAGTTCCAGTTCAGTTTTCCTATCGTACAAATCCATCATAGAGAATTCCTATAATTATTGAGGCCAAGGCTAACAACTGCAGCTCACGCAATTTTCAATCAGTTCTTAAGGCAACCTGAAGAATACTGCGAATTGCACTCAGAGTAATGAATATAAGGCGAACTCTTACGAAATATGGCTTCTCCATTTATGATTGCGATTGCTCTTGCTTTCATTCCAAGAGCTACACTTAAAATAATTAAGAAACCGAGTTGGGACTGAAGTACAGACGACGCGTAAGTCTCAAGACTTTTCAAATCATTTCGATGGACAAAGGAGCCTTCGAGCTGCTCTTGAATTAATTAAGGAGATTTCTTAAAGTTAACTGAGCTAGGACAAAGCGTATTGCTGTGATATGTGATATTGGTGTATGGCAATGCTGACGTTTATAAGACTTTAAGAGAACTGCTTGCAATACAACAAATCTGCTCTTAAAGCTATTAATCTGAGAGCTACTTGAAAACCTCTATTAACAGTTAGCTGCAGTAGGAATAATTCTAACATAAGTTTGCAATTTTTATAGGGTACTTTATAATTTTATTAGATGACATTCAGATAGCATTTCTTAGTTTTAGTTGGAGCCACTCAAGATTCTACTTTAAACCTTAGGCCAACAGATTTTCCGGGTATAATTTCCATATTCGTTTTCAATTACTATAGCATACTTTTGTGAGTCTTGACTACCTGCTCTGTTTGCTCTAATTATATCTGTTCTTTTCGTATGTCCACAGCGCGTCATCAAGGATGAGCGCTTCTACATTGGCCTGGAGCCGGAGGATGACTCTGTGTGGCTGCCGTCGCAGCTGCTGCGTGCCACAAATGGAATTTTGCCGTCGACAAGCAGCGAGGACACCGTGGTGAATGTGTTGCGCCTGTTCCTGGCCATGGCCTGCTCGCCGGCCTGCACGCTGAACGGGAGACTGCTCATCGAGATACTCTCGCGCTGCGGCGAATGCTGGGAGCTCGGCTCACGGGCTATTAAGGCTGCTTCACTGGCGGCCGCCTCGCAGTGCTTGCGCACCTTCTGCGCATTCCTCATCGAGGAGGCCGAGGAGGTAAAGAAGACGGCGCCCGCCGGCCTGATGACGCAAACGCAGGCATCGGCCGTCTACAACGAGGTCATACCCGTGATGCAGTGGCTCTGCAGTCGCCTGGTGGAGCCGAACGTCAACAATGCGTCGCCGAACAAGAAGTGCGAGAATCCCAGTTCGCTCTATCTAACCGAATGCATCCTGACGCTCAGCTCGGCGCTGCCACGCAATGTGCACGCCAATCCGCACTTCACCTCGTTCCTCTGGCAAAAGTTCTGTCCAACGTTGGCCGCGGCGCTCGGCTCGCCGGGACGCATTAATCTGGACAAAAAGTTTACCTACAAGTAAGTGAATGATCTGTGATAGATGATGCTATATATAGGATTTATATGTCTCTCTCTCTCATCTGCTTTCAACAGAGACGCTCTGCACATGATTGAGAATGAGGCGCGCGGGTTTTTTACTGGACCCGGCTTGGATGGGCCGCAGGCGCGTTGCGTCTACCTGACTGCGATTCAGTTGCTGCGCATTGCCGGCGCCCATGGGTCGCTGCGTCCAATGCTGGAGGCGCTGTTCCATCGCATGGTCCTGTTGCCGGCGCCGCAGAATCGCACCGAGCCGTTGCGCTGTGTACGCGAGATCTTCAAGAGTCCGGAACGCCTCATCGATCTGGCAGTCATACTCTACGTGGACAAGAACACGGCGCAGGGCTGCAGCGATGAGATGGCGCTCTTTCGACTGTATGTAAATTGGGTGATTCGTAAGGGAATTCGTAATGAGAACTTTTGTGTCTGCTTTCAGCCTGGTGGATGCCATGGAGGAGTGCGCCTATGGAGCCAGTGCGGGCAGCGCCACAGAGGCGAGCCTG